GGCCGGGCCTCCCCTCTGCTGCTTCTTCTGCCCGTGAGCAAGACAAGCCCGTCTGAAGAGCTGCCTGGGGCCTTCCAGAAAGGCCCTTGTGTACCCTCGTGTCCCTCACCCCGGGTAAGGACGAAGGGCTGGTCCCAGTCCTTGTGTGACCTCAGGCCGGTGCTCAGCCTCGGGGAATGGCTTTCCTGAAACACAGCAGCTGTGCCGAAGGCCGGTGACCCCTGTCCATTCCTCCTTTCCTCCTAACGGAGACCGGATCTCACTGGGGAGCCTGTGCCACTCTGTAAACTATCCCAGAGTCCTCCTGGGCCAGGTGCCCTGGAGCAAATTCCGGGCAGTGGAATGCGCACAGGAGTGGCCCTGCACTGCTCTGGAGAGAGCTCCTTGCCTCTTCCCTTCTGCTTTCTGACTGGCATGTAGATTGAAATACAGAGGTTGTGGGTGGAGCTGCGGCAGCACGTTGTCAGCGTGAGGGTGAATTGATAGATTGGCCTATCCGAGGAGTACTCTTTGCACCCACTCCCAACCCTGAGAGAGTTCTCTCAATGGGTTAAAATGTAAATTATCCAAGTCTTTCTCATCACTATGGTGCGGCTGCTTTTCTTAGTGTACAGAGGCTGCTCTCCCTGGAACATGTGTCATTAACACATCTGCACCGTGAACCCCTCGTTGTTATTATTATCATTATTGTTATTATTATTTCAATTTGGTAGAGGATGCATTTGCCAGAGAGAGGGAGGGAGAAAGTACCCTCACACACGTCTGGGCACACCGCAATCTTTTCCCCTCCACTTCTTCCTCCTTTCAGGATTTGCGCACACTCCTACCTGGAGTGCCCTTCAAGCCCCAGCGTTTGGGATTCAAACCATGCTCTTGGCCACGGAGAATCCAGCTCCTTCACTATCAGGCAACTGGCTGGCCTATATTCTACCGACCTTCAAGATAGCCCAAGCTTGGCCTCCTCCTGGAAGCCCCTCCTAATCCCAACTTACTAGTGCTCGGCCTTCCTAGGCCCGCGTGAAGTGGCACTGCCGGCCCGGCACCGACCCATACCCTCTTCTTGTCAGTCCCAGGAATGGGGCCCTGGGAGGCTGGCGTGGCGGGCTCCTGCCCAGTGGGTGACTGCCCTGCTCTGTGAGTGGGGCCTGTCACACTGCTGCTGTGCTCCGCAGGCCAGGCCTGCACCGATGGCACACGGGAGCCATGCTGTCCCCTCCAGGGCAAAGCCTCATCACTGCAGTCTCTTTTGGACCTGAACGTGTATAGTGCAGAAGCTGCAGACAGTGACCTGTTTGTGCACGGCACGGCCTTGGACGAAAGCTCCCAAATTGTGGGAGGAGGCTGAGGCCCACGTCATGCGCTGCCCCAAGCCGGCCCTCCTCCCTCTGCTTGTTGGCCTGTAACCAGGGCCTTTAGCATCTGGACCAGAGGGCTGGGAGGAGCCGAGGATGCCCAGGGCAAATCCCTCGCCTAGGCCTCCCCACCTGTAAAATGGGCTGACTGTGCCCACAGTGTTGCTTTCTCCCACTGACCCTGTCCTACTGGGACAGACCACTCTGTCCTCTGACCACCCTGCCACCTGCCCCGCCCTGCCCCCACCCTGTCCCCGCCCTGTTGGCCCACCAGGGTTAATGCTCACGGTTCCCACCTGTGCCAGGTCACACTCAGTGTAGGGCCAAGCCCAGAGCAAGAAGGACCTGAGAGTCCAATGCTGTGGCCAGACCCCAGTCTGGAGGTGACAGAGGCCCACACCCCACCTGGTCAGGGCAGGTT